CTGTGACAGACAGCTAACTGCAGATCAACCGCGGGAGCTTCCCTTTTTCGTAGAGAACGCAGGGGCCCACATTTCCCAGCCTTCCTTGAAGTGGAGTGCAGTCAAGGGATGGAGGTTGCCATTGTAGGCAGAAGTGCACGGCCTTGTGGGAGAGAGAGCCTTGTAATGATCCTCTTCTGGGTAGTACCTTGTGTTCTTTCTTTTCCTGTCTTCTGGATGTTAATTCCCAACCACAAGCTAAAGATGGCAAAGTCTACCGACCTTGGTTCTGAAGCGCCAACGTAGAACAGACGGCTTCCCTCCCGCCTCCCACGTCTACAGCCCCATCTCACCACCTAGAGCTGTCTTGCTCTGAAAGTGAAAAATAAATATCTGCAGTGCTCTGGCCATTAGACATTTTGGGGTTAACTGAATACAGCTGCTAGGCAACCTTAACTAACGCATCTGTAATAATAGCTTCTTTTCCCCCTACAGGCCTCAGGCATCTCTGAGATATACTACTTATGAAAGAGTTGAGAAGTTAAAAATATAATAGTAAATTAACATATATACACATGCAAAAAATAAACAGTTTAGGATAGTCTAAAATGCAATTGTAAATCTCCTGCTCCCTCATTGCCCAATTGGTAGCTAGCTCTGCACCTACTACACTTACTTTTAACTATTTCTATCTTAATTTTCTTGATATCTCTACATAATATCCTTTAATTATAGTTTTTTTTAAAAATTATTTAATCTAGTAGCTTCCAACTATGAATGATGAATAGTTACCAAGGCGTCTTTAACCTAGTCAGGGAATGGTGGAGGGTTGGTTTTCCTACCTCCATTAACCTGATCAACATGTTCATCATAACACCCCAAGAGTCCAAATAATCCCTTACAGGTGTGCCTGGAGGCTTAGCTCCCAAGTGGTTCCAGATTTGGTCGAGTTGACAGTTAATAAATCACAGTTGCCTAAGGTCTCGGAGACGCAATATGTCATCTTCGCGCACCACTACATTTGATGGCGGATGCTGATTAGTCGTTTGTCTGCAAAAACCGATATTTAATTTGTGAGCTAGTTAAGGTCAAACCACTCTGTGGGGTGACTTGGGTGAGCAAAGTGTCTTGCACATCTACTTTTGTAAACAGATCTTAGGTGACCAATTAAGCAGGTCCACCTGAGCCAGCCAGCACCTCTTGCTCCAACCCAGAGGGGGCAGCGAGTGGCAGAGTGCATTTGCTTCTAGAGTCCTAGAAGTCACACTTAGGAACCATATTCAAATCGTATTCGAATGGTTGTCAGCTTACCACAGCATTGGCCTGGAGCCCGAAAATGAGTACAATTGTCCATCTCAAATAATAGATCAATCCAAAACAACTTCAAAGATAATCTACCAGAGTCCTTGACAAAGTAATCCAAATTTTGTATTATTTTAGAAATAATCATTTTAACACTGCAACCATCAGGGATCAGCCCCAAGAAGATCATGGTCCTGTGAGGACAGTTCCTATATAGAAAAGGAAAATAGCTCATTTCTTTGTTCTCTGCATAATGTCCTGTTGTGCCCGTGTCTCGGAACCCCCAGAGATCACCAAGGAGCCGGCTTCCGATGCAAGCATACAAGAGTCTTTTTGTTATCAGATTTGAACCTGAGCCACCAACCTATGCTCCAATGCAACGGATAGAGGAAGATTCGGCGGTCACGGGACCACAAGTAGGGAGTTATTATAGGGAAAAATCGCAAGCTGGGAATTGGCAACGTGGGACTGGGTAGAAGGGGTATGGGACAAGGGTATGAAACTATTGGTCCAGACTTTGGGCGCAAACCCATATTTTGAAACCATTGGTTTAGACTTTTTGACAGGGAACCACAACTTGCTGAGCAGGGTTATCTGGGCTCCTCAGCGGTGCTGTGGGATGGTCTGTATGTCAAATGTGTTGCTGATTGGTCAATAAATAAATCACTGATTGGCAGTGGCCAGGCAGGAAGTATAGGCGGGACAAGGAGGAGAATAGAGCTGGGAAGTGGAAGGCTGAGTCAGGGAGACACTGCCAGCCGCCATCAGGATAAGGAAGATGTAAAGTACCGGTAAGCCACAAGCCACGTGGCAAGGTATAGATTAATAGAAATGGATTAATTTAAGCTGTAAGAACAGTTACAAGAAGCCTGCCACAGCCATACAGTTTGTAACCAATATAAGTCTCTGTTTACTTGATCGGGTTTGAGCGGCTTGGGACTGGCGGGTGAGAGAGTCTGTCCTGACTGTGGGCCAGGCAGGAAAACTCAAGCTACAAATGGCGTCCAACGTGGTGGCAAGAGTTTCCACCTAAAAACTGAGAAAAAAGATTCTAAAACGGAGCTAAAAACAGCTTCCTGCCGGGCGGTGGTGGCGCACGCCTTTAATCCCAGCACTCGGGAGGCAGAGGCAGGCGGATCTCTGTGAGTTCGAGGCCAGCCTGGTCTACGGCGCGAGTTCCAGGAAAGGCGCAAAGCTACACAGAGAAACCCTGTCTCGAAAAACCAAAAAAAAAAAAAAAACAGCTTCCTAATTGTCTCTCTCAAATGAGCGGCAGCTGCTGGTTTGAGCTACTGGCAGGTTCCTGGTGTGCGGGTTCCTAGCGTGTGCACTCGACCTACGGTATGGTGGGAATGAGGCCTCTGCAAGTGGCACATTAAGCTGCTTGGTGGATTTAGCCTTTGCTAGTACAAAACAAAAAAAGAGGTTTCTGGGCTACACGCTGCTTGGATAAAATCATAGACCCACAATGGCTCCCAGAGCTGGCGGTAAACCACTGCCATGTTGGGAAGCTGAGGTGGGCGGAGTCAGCAGCCACAGCTGCTGCAGTTTAAGGCAATAGATTCACAATAAGACAGATTCAGATGTAATAGTTTAAAATGTGTGTAAAATATACATAGGCTTGAAAGAGACAAAAAAGGTGATATATACAGTTATAGAAACAAATACATAGTTTTAAAAAATAAAGTCTTTAAAGAGACAGTAAAATTAATATAAAAAATAAGCCCTGTAAAGATGGATATCACACAGAGAATCTGGATTGTGTTGTCTTTGGGATTCTTAACTACAGAGAGATATTTGATTGTAAAGGAAGCTGAGTTATACCAATATGCATATTTTAAAGACACCTTGACTTCAAAATTTGGATATAAGGTTATGTTACTTTGGAAAGGAGACTCTGCTTTTGTTTCCACAGAAAGCCAGAGGCTATGGATTTGTTCCAGATTAAGACACATCAGGTTTGACCAGCCAAGACCATCTGAAAGGTCTCTGATGACACCATGGCTCAGATGATCCAACATCCAGAACCGTTTCAAGGCAACTGGCTCAGATGATACAGTCTCACGGACTACTCCATGATCCTAAAATTTTCTTTGTTTCCCCAGAAGATACAGCGTCCCCCTCCAGCAGGAAGTAGTAAGAGAAGCTACGCCCAAATTCCCAAATATACCAAGCTGACTTTGGAGATGTGTAAAGGTTAAAACCTTCCTTTTTAAGAAAAGAAAAGGGGAAGTGCTGTGGGATGGTCTGTATGTCAAATGTGTTGCTGATTGGTCAATAAATAAATCACTGATTGGCGCGTGGCCAGGCAGGAAGTGTAGGCGGGACAAGGAGGAGAATAGAGCTGGGAAGTGGAAGGCTGAGTCAGAGAGACACTGCCAGCCGCCATCAGGATAAGGAAGATGTAAAGTACCGGTAAGCCACAAGCCACGTGGCAAGGTATAGATTAATAGAAATGGATTAATTTAAGCTGTAAGAACAGTTACAAGAAGCCTGCCACAGCCATACAGTTTGTAACCAATATAAGTCTCTGTTTACTTGATCGGGTTTGAGCGGCTTGGGACTGGCGGGTGAGAGAGATTTGTCCTGACTGTGGGCCAGGCAGGAAAACTCAAGCAACACAGCGGGATTATCTAGATATCTCCAGGGGCCATAAACCACAGACAGGATAGCTGCAGTGGTATCTGGATCCTGTTAAACTTTACTGCTCTGTATCCGTTCAAGTTGTCATGGCACATTCCTGAGATTCTTCCTGAAGGAACTGAGTACAGCAGGCAGTCTAAGATGGTGGCCCTTTCCTTAGGATGGAGCCTGTAAAGTTAAGTCTAGCCCTTCACGGTCCAAGCTGATTTTTGTGCTGATTCATGTTCCAAGGCGATGACGTCATCAAACCCACCACTGCGTGTTCTTCACCAAAATTTTCCTCCCGTTAATATCTCCACCATTGAGTTTTTTCAGACATAATAAAAACAGGAACTCCTATTTGGTGGTGACACTTCTCATGACTCCTGCACTGATATGGCTAAATCAAGAGAATCTGTCTTCTATGGATGTGCATACCGCTGATCAAAAGATAGGTAATGTTTTCACATGAGGAAAAAAAAATTCCATTGTTGCTTGATCTTGGATTTTAGGTAAAACTTGATGAATTCCAAATTCATCAGTTGTATAGGCTATAAAGGGTACATAGGTTATAAATATAAAGGAAGAGGGAGACAGGAATATACCAGAACATCTTTATTCGAAGTAAACCAGTTGGGAACCTCATTGAAAACAGCAATGGATAAGTCGGACGATGGTGGCGCACGTCTTTAGTCCTAGCACTTGGGAGGCAGAGCCAGGTGAATTTCTGTGAGTTCAAGGCCAGCCTGGTCTACAGAGTGAGAGCTAGGACAGGCACCAAAACTACACAGAGAAACCCTGTCTCAAAAAAAAAACAAACAAACAAAAACAAAAAACCAGAAATAGATGATAGGTTTGGTGTCATACACATTCAATCCCAGAACTTGGGAGGCAGAGGCAGGCAGATCTATATAAGTTCAAGGCTAGCCTGATCAACAAAGTGATTCTAGGTCAACCAGAGCAACAAAGTGAGACCCTGTCTCTAAATAAATATTTAAACAAATAAATAAATAGAGATTAACTGGATGGTGGTGGACGACTGTAATTCCAGTACTAAAGAGGGAGAGCCTGTCTCTTAAGAGTAGGTATTCACAGGCTCGCTTCAGCAGCACATATACTAAAGTTGAAATGATACAGAGAAGATGGGCATGGCCCCTGCACAAAGACGACATGCAAATTCGTGAGGCGTTCTGTATTTTTAATTCAAAAAAGTAGATATTCATTTCTAGTTTTAGCTGGTTTAAAGGTGTGTACCACTGCCTCTGGGTAAGCATGCTGGTTTTGTTCCATTCCCCTCCCTTCTTCCTTCTAATCCCCTCCTTCTGACACCCCATCATTTTTTTTCAAAGACAGTCTCAGTATGTATATCCCAGCTGGTCTCAAACTCACTGCTTAGCACAGTCTAGCCTCAAACTTGTCATTCTCCTGCTTCAGCTTCCTGAGCACTAGAATGTCCATGCCATCACATTTGACAACCTGAGAAAATTTTAAATAGAGCAAAACACACACACACACACACACACACACACACACACACACACACACACACCCTTCCAAGTGGTTAGGGCTCCATTCAAATCAATGAAGTTTTAAATCAGAATTTGTGGCATTGAGAGTCTGACAACATGGGTTTTGTTGTTGTTTAATCTCAGCAGGGCAAGGTGACATAAGCCTTTAATCCCAGCACCTGGAGGAAGAAGCAGGTGGCTTTCTGTGAGTTCAAGACCAGACCAGCCTACATACCAGAATCACATTTGCCAGCGTGCTACGATGATAATTGAGTGAACCTTTGAACTTTAAGCCACCTCAATTAAATGTTTTTCTTCTAAGAGTTGCTGTGGTCATGGTGTCTCTTTACAGCAATTGAAACCCTAAGACTCTAATAGAAAGCATTGTATAGAACCTAGCTCCAAAGGAACTCCTAAGATTGTTCTTTAAGAATAGAGATGGGACCGGTGGTGGTGGCCCATGCCTTTAGTCCCAGCACTTGGGAGGCAGAGGCAGGTGAATCTCTGTGAGTTCAAGGTCAGCCTGGTCTACAGAGCGAGTTCCAGGACAGGCTCCAAAAGCTACACAGAGAAACTTGTCTCAAATATATATATGGTGGAGGCACGCGTGTTGGAGAGATGGCTCAGTGGTTAAGTGCATTTGTTCTTGCAGAAGGTCCTGTATTCCTTGCACCCACATGATGGCTCTTATCGCCCCATAACACCAGTCCCAGGGTACACATGATACACAGATATGCATTGCAGTAAAATACTCATGCATATAAAATAAAAGAAATACATCTAAAAAATTAAAAAGTCATCTTTAAAAAAGAAGAAGAATAGAGACGGGGTTGGAGAGATGGCTAAACACCCAAGAGCACTTGCTGCTCTTCATGAGAACCCAGGCTGTTCCCAGCATCCACACGGCAGCTTGCAACTGTTACTACAATTCTAGGGGATCCATTGCCCTCCTCAGGCACCAGGCACACATGTGGTGCACATGCAGGCGATGTACCCACACACATAAACAATAACAACAAAAAAAGCAAGAAGGGCTGGTCAGATTGCTCAGTGGGTAAAGCCCCTGCAGCCAAGCTTGAGAACCTGAGTTTGACCCTCAGAGCCTGCGTGGTAGGAGGAGAGACCTGACTCTCACAAGCTATATTCGGACCTCCACAAAACAAGTTATGTAAATTTTAAAAGAGAGACAGTCTGTACCCTACCCCCCAACGCCATCAATGCAGCGCAGTCGGGACAGAAACAGTTGCATGACGTCATTGCCGCGCGTCCGGCGAGCATCCCTGTTGAGACCTTCCGAGGTGCTAATTGCAGTTGGGAATTAATCATTATTCTAACTGAGCCGGAGTCTTATTTTCTCCTCAGGCTTCTCATTATTAAGTTTGCTTGAACTGGTGAGCGCGCAGACACCATCGGTGTAAATAATCATTCACTAATACACTATTAAACGCTCAGGGAGTTCTTTTGTTTTTGTTTGTTTTTTTGTTTTTGTTTTTGTTTTGTTTTGTCTTGTTTTTTACTATGCAGCCTATCACGTGAATTTATTCATGCAAAAGTCAGTTAACTACTTATTGTAAAATTCCATTTTTGGGGGAGGGGGTTTCTTTATTCTAGCTGACTTTCATAATCTCGGGAGATTTAGCAAGATGTCTTTTCCCTTCTGTGCCCCGAAACCTAATGGGAAAACCGTGAGAGTTCTGTCCTTCCCAGAAAGCCACCTATCTCAGAAAAGAGCGTCAGTAAGCATTTGGTGGGAGTGCCCTTGAAAATACCTCGCTCTCCTCGGCCTCCTTGTACATTAACAAAAGCACTAAAATAGTTTCACCAGGGTGAAAATAATTCAGCAAACCAGTCATTAGTCTATTACCGTGAGAATATATAATTCTTTGTTTCCCAGACGCTGAAAATGGAAGGTTTTTTGTGAAAGTGTCTCTCCCATCATAGCTAGAAGAAAGGCGCTCCTGTCTTTATATTGGAGCCAGTAGGACTCAGCAGAAGTCTCATGAGGACAGGGCAGGGAGGCTGAGTCTCATGGAGAGAGGGCAGTTGGTAGGGAACCTCTGACTCTCCTTGACCCCACGAGTAGATCAGGTGCTGGGAGGCTGGGACCCCTCCACCACCCCACCACTCCACCCCCCGCGCGCCCTCGATCTGGTGCTGGGGATGCTGGGAGCCCCCACTGGGTGGGTCAGGTGCTGGGATGCTAGCCTGGTTGGACCTGCGGATATCACAGTTTTCCCTCATTGGCATCCTTGAGCTTTGAGTAGTAGGTTCTTGTCTGGACCTGTGGTTGCAAACGAGAGAACCAAGGTACAGGCCGGAAGTGTGGAACTAAGCAGGTGCCCATTTCTTTTTTCAGAGAAGTAAAATCCCAAAAGATATACTCTGAAATCTATAGCAGTGAGGTTTAATCCCTAAGCCTCAAAACTGGGGTTCAAGGAGCAGGGTTTATCTGAAAGGGCTGTGTAGGGCCAGACTCCAGCCCAGGAGACCGCAGAGTACCGCGAGGTTTTGTTTTTTTTTTAAGAATTCCTGCTCGTCTGCTGAGAGAACTCCAGTTCCATTGTATGCATCCCTGTCCGGAACGGTGCTGTTGAGCACACTCTGCTCATGCGCCCAGTCCCCTGGGCCCTTACCCAGGTCCTAGGCAGCAGCTTCCTGCCTTCGGCTCCGTTTCAGCTCCTTCACCTGTGTTCCCACACTTGCAGGGTGACGCATTGGCACCTGGGGAGGGAGTGGTGATGGGGGTGTGTGCTTAAAATGCAAGTCCACTTTTTTTTTTTTTTAAAGATTTATTTATTTATTATGGATACAGTGTTCTGCCTACATGCATGCTTGCAGGCCAGAAGAGGGCACCGGATCTCATTATAGATGGTTGTGAGCCACTATGTGGTTGCTGGGAATTGAACTCAGGACCTCTGGAAGAACAGCCAGTGCTCTTAACCGCTGAGCCATCTCTCCAGCCCCACAAGTCCACTTTTATTATCCCTAACCCTTCAGTGATTTCTCTAACCTAGAGTCCAAATCGTCCAAAATGATCTCTACACTAATCGGTTCCTCGGGCTTTCTCTTAGTTCCCTATGCCTCACTTCGTCCTCTCCTTCCCAACCTTTATCTACTTAACTCCTTCAGGGTCATTTCCTTACAAACGCCCTTCTGGAACTCTGGTCTCCATGGTGACCGCTCCAGTAGGGCTGGAGTGATTCTTCTCCCCCCCCCCCCCAAGCATTTTCTCCAGCTTGTTTATCAGTAGTGTTGTTATTATCGGTAATCCGTTCCTCTAATTTGACTTGTAAATTTCATGAGTGTGAGGAACCCGCCCACTTCGCTCAACACTGAGAGCTTAATAGCAACCCATGATGTGTGTTATGACTGATCACAACAGATGGTGTGCTAGTCCAGTGATGAAAACCAAGAACTAGGGGAAGGCTGGAGGAGTGAAGGGCCCGCTGGTTTGTGAACCTGGGAAGAATTCATAGCAATGGATTTGCCGTGGCTTGACATGAAGTCCACAAAAGGTGACCAGGAAAGGTGGTGAAACACTCCTTTTCAGCTCCGGGCATCACAGTGGGAGTGGGGGAGGGGGTGGGATGTTTTTATGTGTCCCGGCAAATGTGGACGCAGTACAGAGGAAGAAAATACACCCTGTTGGGAATCACACGGTTGGTCAATGGAAGATCCGATATTCAAACAGGCTCTCCACTTAGGAATCTCCTTTTACACCAAGCTGCTTTTCTCGTGGGTAGGAGCCATCAAGGTGCAGACTCATACTTACCAGGTACTTGGTGCTGCCCTGGAATCAACAGTATCTGTGTTTGCCGTTTTATTATTCTTCAGTCCTCCCTGGAGTCTGCGTTGTGACGGCAGATTTGTGTGGAGATTTGTGTGGAATGCTCGAATTCTGTCCCTTTCTGTTGGTATCTTTCTCCTGTTACTGTAGGCTGTCATGGAGAGAATGCTAATGGGTGTTGGTATCTTTCACTTGTTACTGTAGGCTGTCATGGAGAGGATGCTGATGGATGTTGGTGTCTTTCACTTGTTACCGTAGGCTGTCATGGAGAGGATGCTGATGGATGTTGGTATCTTTCACTTGTTACTGTAGGCTATCATGGAGAGGATGCTGATGGATGTTGGTATCTTTCACTTGTTACTGTAGGCTGTCATGGAGAGGATGCTGATGGATGTTGGTGTCTTTCACTTGTTACGGTAGGCTGTCATGGAGAGGATGCTGATGGATGTTGGTATCTTTCACTTGTTACTGTAGGCTGTCATGGAGAGGATGCTGATGGAACTGCCTTTGGGAATCCATACTGATGGAGCTCACGGCAGAGCGACAGGTGGCAGAGTGGCAGGGCAGATGGCAATGGAGCTAGGAGATGGTCATTCCTGGCTTAGGAAAGGCTTTAGACAGCTGCAAGAGAGCAAGGTCAGAGAAATGCCAGGGATGCAGTACGGTGCTACAGGTCACACGACACCCTTCACACTGCTAGAAAACAACTCTGGCCATGTTCCCACCACACCAGGGATCCTATTAGAAGAAAGACACTCTCTGTTTTCTGATTTCATTTGTATGTATGTGTGTACGTATGTATTTGTGTGTATGTGTGTTAGAGAGGGGGGAGTGTGGTGTAGGAAGGGCTTTAAGGAGTTGGAAACAAATCATTGTCAGTCCATGCTTTATATAGTAGTGTTCTA